CCCAGGGCTCTGTCCTGGGGGACCCCGCTTGTCACTGGCTGCCATCCCGATGATTCCCCACTAATGGTTACCCTCTGCTTTTGGTCAGTCAACCATGCCCTAATCCACTGGACAGTGCTTTGGTGTATCCCAAAACTCCTCAGTTTCTCCACTAGGATATCATGGGGCACTTTGTCAAAGGCCTTGCTGAAATCCAGGTACACCACATCCACTGCATCCCCTCCAACTAGCCATCTCGAAACCTTGTCATAGAATTCCACAAGGTTTGTCTGGCAGGACCTGTTTTTGCGGAAGCTGTGTTGTGTGGCTGCCAGCCTCCCTTCCCTATCTAGCATCACTAGATCTCTCTCTATTATGAGCCTGTTTTTCCTATAATGGAGGTAAGGCTAACTGGTCCGTAATTCCCCATGTCCCTTCTACTACCCTTTTTGAAAATTGGGACCACTGATGCCACCCTCCAGTCCCCTGGAACTTCACCCGTTCTCCATGAGGCCTCAAAAATGGAGACTAGCGGGCGTGAGAGAACCCCTGCCAACTCTCTATGTACTCTTGGGTCCTCTGAGCCATCAGAGACGTCCTCTGAGCCATCAGTCTTACTGGATTGGGCCAGTTAACTTCATAACAAGAACACAGGACCTCTTGCAGCCAAGTTTCCATTTTGTAGAAGCATTGAACGCTCATATTCCAGTAGCAGATGGGCAAAAGGACCAGAGCCAGAATTGCAAAAAAAGGCAAGGCATTTGGAGCTTGTGGGATAGGGAAAAACTGCACTACTGATCATTGGAGAAAAGAGGATAGGTCAGGGGAAACCTGAAGCTTGGGTTGAGGCACCAAGAGGGCTGCATCTGGTCACAAGGCTTAAGGTTTTGCACCCATGCTTCATAAGTAGTGAATATAAAAGGGAATGATTCCATATATATATATAAGCTGTCCTATAAAACTGAACATCTCTTGTTATAAATGGTCAATCCCTGTTTAGAGGTGTAAGAGGTATTAGTTTAAAGCAAATGATTCATTACTTCGCAATGCAAAGCCAGGTGAGGTGGGGTGCTGACGGAGGGAAAGGTTAGTCCTCCATCCTCCCACTAGGGTCCCAATCCAGACCAATTCCCCATGCCTATTCTAGAGAAAAGCAGCTAATTTTGAAAACAATGTCTAGTTCAGCCTTCAAGAGGGGGCAAAGCTGCAGCCCATTTGGGGTGAAGCCTGGAACTGTGACAAGTTATGCAGTACCAGCTCATACACTTCTACTGTAGTTTCTCATAATTTCCAAATATCTGAAAATATATGCAGTAGCAACTTTAAATATTGTTCCTGGTCCCCTGCATAGTGGTGTCATTTACAAGCTGTGGAAAGTTATAATCAATGCTTTCTCAGGAGTCACAGAACTGCAACTGAGAGTCTGCAGTGAGGGCTCTATGAATCAAACCACCTCAGCAATATTTCTTTAGAAATATAGAAAATTAAAATCTTTGTGGCATAGATGGCAGAGAAAAAGATGGATGTCAGTAGATATTGGTGGGAGCTATGTGCCGAAATAGTACCCATAAGCCATGTCTTTGCTATTGTGTTCCACAGGTGCCTGGAATGTCATGTGAGACATCCTTCATGAAGAAATTGGTGATTTCCAAAGGGATTCCCTGGGAAGCTATAACAGTTGTGGCTTTGCCTTCTCTTGTGTCTTACTGAGAATAACTGAAAGTTCCTTCAGCAGGATTGTCATTAAAGCTTGTCCACATTGTGGACAATCAGCTGGAGCAATAAACAGTTTACTCTGTAGTTGAAATGTTATCTTTCATGTAACTGTGGCTCCTCACTTGGCCTAAATCATGTACATCATGGGATTCATTGTAAATGAAATGTTCTCTTAGTAGCTAGCAGAGAGGTGTGAGATCCAATCAAAGCACAGTGACTGGATTAATCAAGGACATGGGTGTTGGAGAGTTTTGATTGCAGAAGTGGTGGCAAAAGAAACACACAGGCACTGGGCATCACACTGCACAGAAATGATTGTAGATTACATTTCACACAGACAGATTTAGTGTTTTTGAGGACAGTTTTCTGGGTTCCAATCAACAATGGGAGAACAATCAGTGTTGTAGAATATTTACTATTGGGGGAAAGTACTGTACAAATTCTTAGGACTAAATTATTGATAAGAGGGAGAGGTGGGAAATTTACTCAGTTTTTGCTTTTTAATTGATTTGCCTAAATCACGCCTTGCAGACTTAAGTGATTGGAAATCTTTACATTTCTCAGCTTGTGATGAGTTATGTAAAACGAAACAAATGTCTTCCCCAAAATACACACAAAATGTGCAAGGAAAAACACACATACTTTCATGTTTTAGCCAATGGGCGGATGTCTCCAATAATATGCAGATTTTAAAATGCATAAATATGTGAATACATTTTTTCATAAATATGTAAATTAATGCATATATTAATATGCACAATGTAAACCATGCCTATGAGTTTCTGTAAGGATTTTTCTTAACAAAATTTTGTCTTGTCTGGAAACAGATTAGAACAGACCAGATTGGTCAGAAAAATGGCACTGCATCTGTCTGCTGGAAAGCTACACCTGCTGCTGCTAGTTGTGAAGTCACATCTGACCCATCATGACCCCGTGGACAACACTCCTCCAGGCCTTCCTGTCCTGCACCATCCCCTGGAGTCCACTTAAGCTCACACCGACTGCTTCAGTGACTCCATCTAGCCACCTCATCCTCTGCCATCCCCTTCTTCTTTTGCCCTCCATTGTTCCCAGCATTAGGCTCTTCTCCAGTGAGTCCTTCCTTCTCACTAGGTGGCCAAAGTATTTGAGTTTCATCTTCAAGTATCTGGCCTTCTAAAGAGCAGTCAGGGTTGATCTCCTCTAGCAATGACCGGTTTGATCTCCTTGCACCTAGATTAGCACTATTCCCAGTGCCGAGACAACATTATATATGGAGATTTCTTGTCTAAGTAAAGAAGTCCAGGTAGGCCACATTTGTATATGGGACTTTCCTGATTATGAGAGACAGTAGCTGAATTGAACAGTCTCCTGCCCCGCCCACCCCCTGCCTCTACGAACATGGGTGGATTGATGCATTCAAGGAGCTTTCTAGGTCCTATCCTTTTTGACACAGACCAACGTATGAAGAAAAAGAATTCAGAAAGTTTCTTGGTAGTACATCAGAGACATCTCTACTCAGGTCCTACCATGTGTGCTGAATGTATTCATGGAAGAACTCTCCAATTTCTGCTCAGGCTTCAGTGGCCCACCATGTGTATGCACATCACCATTTGTGATGTCTGATGCATGAAATGGACTACCACAGCAATTCCCACAAATGACACATTCTGTTTTTCCAGTGGAGCACATGGAAGGGAGAAGTTGGCACTGCCGGTATGGAGAAAACAAGAATTTTGTGAAGAAGCCCTTAACTTGTTTAATTCCAAAGTAATATGAGAGAGCGGCAGGGAGGGAGCAGTGTCTAATTCATCATTTAATAGACGTTTTTCCAACTGGTTATAACAAATTTTAGATAGAATTAATCCTTGCTTTCAGCCTAAATGGTAGAAAACCATCACTTTCAAATCCAGTATATCCATTAATAAAGCCCTTAGGAAAGACTTCCCATTGAATTAAATAACATGACTAAGAGCACCTGTCCTAGCCTAGTATTAAAATGGGCCGAAAAAGAAGATATAGGAAACCTATTAGCATAAATATCTGCTTTTTAACAGCCCTTTTCATCTTCGGCCGTCATTAACCAAATGAACTGCTGACAACATCAAGACGAAGCCTTGTGCCCTACAGCAAATCAGGCTACATTTCATTTTTTCATACCCCTACAAGAAAGAATTCATATGATCTTTATGAATTAAAATAAAAAAATTAAGCATAGGTTTTTGCAACTAGGCCTTTGTAAAACACACACACACACACACACACACACACACACACACACAATTAGGAAGAAAAAATCTCTTTGGGGTTCCCCTCTACCACCACCCCAGAACTGAGTACAATTCTGAACTGCTAGGGCCGTGATTAACAGTGGAGCAGTTGCTCATGTTTTCTCTGGACATTGCATTAAGATAAAAGCCATATAAAGTTTACACAATTCCCTGACAAAACATTGCTCCAAGGCATTGTGGGAAATTAGGCAGTGAAGTTCTGCCTGTGATGGTTCTCAGATCACAGCTGCCAGCCATGACCAGGTATGCCCAAAGTATTCACCTAAACAAAGGAGGGATCCACCAGAGCTCACTTGTCTGGGCTTCATCAAACCTGCAACCAGCCCTGTCCCAGATATTTGGAGAACAGAAACTAAATATCATGGATTTTTCAATTCTAAGGCAAGCACAATTTTCAAGACATAACTTTGGAGGTCAGCAGGTGCAGATTTCAAAGGGGTTGAGGAGAAATGTAGGGACTTACTGTGCTGGCAGTGAATCCCATTAAATCCCTCTGGACATTTACAAGCATAGCCGATGAACGTGTCTCCTCTATAAGCTTCACTAATTTCACATGTTCCACCATTATGGCAAGGGTTAGGATTGCATGGCCCTGAAAGATAAGAAAAAGAGAAGACAAAGAAAATGACAAATCAGCAAGGTCACATTCAGTAAAGCAAGATCATGACAGGCAATGAGAAGATAAGGCAAGATCTGCCATGATCCTGAGCAGGTCACTGGTTGAAACTCATCCACGAGGAACAATTGTTTCAGCAGTAAGAAGAGGTCCTTTCAAACCTTATGAAGGCTAAGAGGTTACAACTTGCTATTAATCCCATCCTTTTTGAAGTTCTGCCTATTTCTTAGGGGGTCATTGCCTAGTTGCACAGTCATGAAGGCAGCTGCATCTCCCTTAAAGAGGTACCTTCTGAGTTCCTACAAGATGCATGCAGACCATAGTAGCCTGTTCTGCGATCTTCTGAGTGTTCTGGCTGCCTCCACCCATTCCCCCTACATGTTGCCTTCGACTTGTCAAATACACTCAACTACCATCTACCCTTCCTGGCTACAGATATTGCATGCAAATTATGAATGGATTTCCCCTTTTCATGGATGTCTTCATGGACCATTGTACTGCCCATGCACAGTTGGACCGTAACCATTGACTTGAAAAAAGGACAGACAACATCGTTTCTTTACCAAGTCATGGAAACTTTTTACTTCAAATGGCTTGCTAGGAAGACTTAGCAGTCAATAGTCTTAGTATTTAAAAAGTGATTACATGCTTGAAAACATCTGAAGTGAGCTCTTCACAATTGCTTATAAATTTTTCTCCACAATAAAAACTCATCTTCATTCCTTGGAAGGCAATACTATTTTTTTTGAAAGATTAATTATTTGTCCATGTAAAATCTCATTTTGTTATAAATTAGTTTCCAAAAATTCCTACAAAATAATTTACTTACAAATAATACTGATTTATTTAACTTTCAGGAACTGCATATTTCATTTTCACATTTTTCATACTCTGCTGAAGTTCATGATTTTCTCTATAATGTGAATATAAAGGAATTTTTGATCTTTACCTCAAGGACATTTATTCAGAATTCAATTTGCTAAAAAATGCATTTCCAGAGAAAGAACTAAAAAGAAGTATAACAGAACATATGCAGACTTTCTGCCCTCTTCTATGAAAGTTTGTCAACTCCTAATGCATAAATTTGCTACATTACATTTATTACCAGAGTTCAATAAAAAAAGATATTTATTTTAGAACCAAGAAGAAATGTGTGACTTGCATTTTATCTGCGGTACTCGCAACACTGTGCAAAAGATTAAAACAAACAAAACCTTGTTCTCTGAATATGAGTTCCATGTTAGCAGCTTTGGTTAGCATGCTGCATAGTGTGTGAGAGAGGCTGTTCTTTCATGCAATCCCTCATTTTAGGAGCACAGCAGTAGGTGGAAACCGAGAAGCAAAGACACAGGCGGCTAGTAATGCAGTTTGCTGGGCAAAACTACCACCAGCGGTTGCATGGCAGTAAAGTGGGCAGGAAAATCCATGTGAACCCTGAAGTGCTAAATAGTGTACAGCCACTTCTTCTGAAGATTAAATAGCTTCCATTCAGATTTTCCCAATCAAGGGTGATTTGTTATTATTTCGTGATGCATGGTGTACTGAAAGTATAGGTGGTGGCAATTTTTTTCTTCTTCCATAATTTTATTCTTCCATATTGGAACTCAGGGTCATCCCATGAAGCTGATTGGTGGGAGATTCAGGACAGATAAAAGGAAATAATTCTTCACTCAGCACAAGTTAAACTATGAATTCATTTTCACAAGATGCAGTGATGACCACTAGACAGCTTCAAAAGGATATTTGACAAATACATGGAGGAGAAGGCAATCTTATTAATATTTTATCTGGATACTTCTTCCCAATATATGATTCACATTATCATCCTGATTGAAATTCCAAAGAAGAGCCCTCCCCCATCCATAAACCCTATGCCACTTCCTGTAGCTAACAATAAAATGAGTTCTACCAATGTTCTTGAGTCATGAGTCACCTCAAATTCTTCATTACCAAGTTAATAAAATGTCTTCTCTTCTTTAGAGTGGCTCAGGAATGTGCTTCCTTATGGTACAATCTTATAAAAGTCTGCTTTGCTCAATGGGGTTTAACGTTAGAGAGAAAGTTAGACGAGCCAGCTGGAGATGATGCTCACAGAAAGCTCCACAGGCATGCATCGAGTGCTGCTGGTGATTCTGTTTGGAGAATGTGTCAGAGATGGCGCAGAGGCAGCCTGGGATCCATGAGATCCACTGTAGCTTTGTTCCCTGAGAAGCCGCAGGATGAGATCCCTCAACTATGCTAGTCTGGAACTGGCATCGTTAATACTGTCCTTGACAATCAAAGCTGGCATTAAAAACAAAGCAGCCTTTTATTTCCAGGCAAGAAGAGAAGATAAATCTCAGAACTTTTCTCAGAAAAAATGTCTTCTGAGAACTTTTGGCTTAGCTCTAGTTATCATTTTCCAGGGTTTAGCATGTTCCCCTGGGCTTGCAAACATTAAATGTATGCAGGATGTCTATGGATATGCCCTGTTGCTAATACAGATGTGGACACTGCTACTTCCCCAAAAGCCATGCAGCAGATGTGAAGGGATGGTTTTGTGTCCAGAGAAGAGGTGGAATTGTGAATGCTATGCCAAAGTCTCTCTTCCTCTCCCGGAAGAGTCCTCAATATTTGTGTGCCATTCTCAGGTCATTTTATAGTTTATTTTGGTGGGATTTTTGAGCTTAACTAATCACCGTAGGTGGCCAAGCATCCTGTGTGTGATTTTCTTCTCCATTATTCATCTTTTTCAATTGCTGTATAGCTTCCCAGATTTCCTGATCTGAGAAAGTCCTATGGGAGAGGTGTGAACCGTATCCCTACTTTCCCACAACCCTTCACTCCCCGTGAAAGAGGCATTTTTTTCTGCTGAAAAACCCAGAGGAAACTTCATATCTAGGGTAGCATCATGTAGTCACACTGGCATTTCAGTGAGTACTACCAGGCTGAAAGCATCTGCGGGGAGAACCCCACATCAATCTTCAGTGGTAAGAAAAATCTTGGCTACTTCCTACATGCAAGAAGGCAAATTAACTGAGACCAACACTGGGAGAGTGTTGAGCACTCCCAGTCCTCCCTCAGTGCCTCTCCTTTCCTGACACCCTTTCATCATTGCGACCACCTGATTTCTTGACAGATAGTCAGTGGACAAATATGGAGCAGCACCCACTGTTCGTCCATCTCACTGCCACCACGGCATTTTTGCCACAGCAAGAGTCAGGCAAACATGCATGTTGCAATGAAGAGGAGGAACAGCTCTTGTCAATGGACTCCCGCTGGGGCCACAACAGGTATCCAGCCGCACCTATCCTCAGTGCCAGCTATGCTGACAGTCAACCATACTGAAGAGAAAATTCCGTATCTGTTATTTCATACACCAGTCCTGGGACATTTTTAAATGTGTGATCCAGGGCAAGTGCCAAGTATCTCGGAGCCAAGCCACATGTTACACTAATCACAAAGCATGCAGCTGGAGCTTGATTTATTTTTTAACTGTGTGTAAGCACTCACAGCCCTGATGCACACTGGGACTGCTACATTCCAGGAGAGGAATGTTAAACTTTCCCATTATCAGAGGGCTATTTTTTAAACAAAACAATTCCTTCAGTAAAGGGATTACATGAATATAGACTGTATGCTTATACTAGAGTAGTAGATGAAGAAGACAAACTCCAACTACATGCCAGTCAATTAGCCTAATGTATAGCTTGACGCTGAGTGATCAAAATTTTGTTCCAACCAACAAAAAATATGAGAGAAACCTCTTTCAATCTTGTGATGTGCCTAGAGTGCTGAAGTGTCTTTGGTCATGAGAAAACCTCATACAACACGTAGGCAACAAACAGGTATGTTTTGCCCACCAGGAAACACCCATGTTGGAAACGACCCACAGAAATAAAAGTGGCCACTGTGTCATAATATACAGAGAAAATGTCATTAAACTTTTCATGTGATTGGTATTATTCAGTAGATACAAGCAATGTGTGCAAACATCTATCTTGGAAGCAAATTCTTGTAGTCTTGCTTTAAAGCGCAATGGGCTTCAGGGATTCTTTTTTTAATCAATAGTGTAGTAATACTTTTGTAGGTAATCTTTAAGTAGCTTCTAACACAAAGAGAGCAACAACCTTTGATCAATATTAATGAGCAACAGAATTTCTCTGGAATGCTTTTCAGGCATTTTAATCCATGCTCGTATAAGTAATGTCAACAAGATTAATTGCACACTAAAAGTAATAGATCTATACAGTTTGCAACTCTTTTGAGAACTGCTCTCAGTACAACTTTGCTGATAATCGCCGGAGTAATAAGTGCTCACAGGCTGCAGATGTTTGTGACACTGATATTCAATTGCAATCCTATCCTGTACTGGAAAGATACTAATAGTATAATCGTCAACATAAAGGGATGGCAGTTCTGAATTTTTCAGAAGCTGTGACTGAAATATCTAAGGTTTCTAGGCAAAGGAATCAAATGACTGTTTTCTCTGTGGGGTAAGAAAAGGTCTTTAAGGCAGAAACTGTGTTACATCTTGGCCTCAGTGACAAATACAGTCAATTCAGTTTCCATAATATGCACACACTAGGGAGGACCCAACTTTGAACTGGAGATTAAATATTTCCAAATGTGACAGGTAGTTTGGATCTAAAATACAGAGGCTGTCAGATACAGTATGAAAAGCCATTTTTCCCCCCAGATAAAATGTAAATGCTGACAAAGGAAATAAATAATAGGAATAAATGAGAAACACCATCGAGAAGCATGTGGGGTATAGCTTGAGGTTTGAAAAATTGAATTTAAGTGAAGGAAAAACAAATATGTATGCACATATCTTCATGCTTTCAGATTCAGGTTATCTCTTGGTGACATTCTTTCTTTTCAGTTTCTTGTCATACCTGCTTCAGCATGACATTCTTCAAATAACTTCTTATGGACCATTATACTATGTAGATTGCCCTAACTCTTCTTAGGAGAAGCTTGGCGGATGTTTGCAG